TCCATGCGCCAATGCTTTGACTCAGGCCACGGTGATAGGCAGAAATCAGGGACTTTTCAGAATGCCGGAAGGTGCCACAACTGGCACAAGTATGTTTCTTGGTCACTTCAGAACACCTATGAATAGTCCTTTGCTTTTGCACATAAGAGTAAGCTTAGGAATGCTTCACTTCATTCTAGGTCACATTGCCTGCAAATATAGACCCTTTCCTCTGCTGCCTTATTGTCAGTTCATGAAGAACACTATATGGTGATACATGACTGTTACTGTTTTATGTACTTATCCTAACATGCTGTGCTTTTCATCCTTTAGAGCATAATCCTAATATAAAAGTTTACTGTAAAAGTGTGCTGCTATGCCAATGGTAGCCTCATGTATCGTGTTTAACTGCGTATTTGGCTATCAAAGGGCCATCACAGATGACTGACATATACTTTCTCAGTTTGCACTTAAAAGTTGGCACTCTGTGTGGTACTTTGTGATACACACGGATGACATTGCCTAATAACATATTTGTCAGATTATATTTCCATCATGTGTCACATGACTGTATTGAAATTGAAATTTTAAAAATTTGGCTTATGTGGAGTCTACTAGCTAATTAGAAATTTTTTTCCAGACCACTATTTGTTCAATATTAGTTCTGAGAATCTTTCTAAAACAAATCACATCCTTTGATGTCTTGTTAATGTTTGAGATTTTTAAAAAATTATATGGAAAAATGTATAAGTACTTTTCAGTTTTGCTTTGGTCGAGTTCTATTATATTTGAATGTTGTTTTTTTCCCTTGCATTGATTTTCTTTGAATAATTTTAATTTTTGTATATATGTGTGTAGTGAATGAGTAAAGTTTATAAAAAAATAGTATATGACAAGAGTTTAATACTGTATTGTAGTTAACATCTTTGCAAGCATATACAATGGCCCCCATGTAGAAAAAGGTTGAAAAGGTGCTAAGATGATTATGGTGGAAGAAAGAAATCACTGAGAAGTACAAAGTATACAAGTGGCCAAAATTGCAAGATTTTATAAGTCTACACCCACCAATTGCACAAAGTTAAAGAAGAGGGAAGAAATAAGGGGACTTGATGCAGCAAAAGGAGTCATAAGAATATCAAAGCACCAGCCACAAGTTCTGGAGATGTAGAAAAGCTGATTCTGGTTTGGATGAGAAGCAACTAGCAGGTGATACTATGACTGAGAATATCTGGGAGAAGACAAAGGCCTTGTACATCAACCTCCTAAGTAAACTGCCAGGAACATCGACAGCCAACAAAGGCTTCAAAGCAAGCAGGGGATGGTCTGACAACTTTAAGAGAAGAAGCGGCATCCATAGTGTTCTGAGGTATGGAGAGGCTGTGAGTGTGGATGCTAAGGCAGCCGAGGTGTTCACTACTGAGTTCCAGAAGCTCCTAATTTCCAAGTGTTACCTGTCACTGCAAGTTTTTAACTGCGATGAGATGGGACGTTTTTAGAAAAAGATGTCGAAGAGGACCCATATCACAGAAGATAATGTGATGCTGGGTCACAAGATCATGAAAGACCACCTCACCCTCTTGTTTTGTGGTAATGCTGGGATTTCAAAGTCAAGCCCCTGCTCGTCTATTATTTCAAGAATCCATGGGCTTTCAAGAAATGCAAAGGTGCAAAAGAGCTAGTTAAACATTATGTGGGGGTCCAACAGCAAGGCTTGGGCCACTCGTATCTAGTTCATTGAGTGGATCAGTGGAGTCTTTGGTCCCACAGTTTAGAAACACCTTTTAGAAAAGAATCTGCCACTCACAGCCTTGCTGGTTATGGATAATGTTCCCGCTCACCCTCCAGGTTTTGAGGATGACTCACTGCAGGAATTTGGGATCATTAAGGCCAAGTTCCTTCTCAGCACCGTTCCAATCCTCCAGCCCACAGATCAGCAGATCTTTTTTTTGGTACCGGGAATCGAACTTGGGACCTTGCACTTGCCAGGCAGGCGGCAGAACCACTGAGCTGAATCCCTGGCCCTCAGCAGATCATTTTGAACTTTAAAAAGCTTTACACCAAAACACTGATGCTTCAAGGTGACCAAAGGAACAAGCCTTAGAAGCCTCCGAGTTTTGGAAGAATCACTTCCATATTGTAAACTATTATAAGATCATTGATAAAGCCTAGGATGGGGTCACCAAGAGAAGCCTCCATTCTGCTTGGAGAAAACTGCGACCTGAGTGTGTTTCGGGACATGACTTAAGAGGCTTGCTCTGAACAGGAGCCACCCGTTGTGGATGAAATTGTGTGCTTGGGGAAGACCATGGGACTGGAGGTGAACAAGGGTGACATTCAAGAGCTGGTGGAGCTGACACTGATGAGCTGACGGTCTGCTTCTCAAGCAAGCGCAAGAGGTTATGGAGGAGATCTTGGCTGCGGAGGAGAAAAAGGCGGAGGAACCCTCCAAATGAGACTAGAGCGATGCGTAAAACATGGGAACAGCAAAATTCCATAGAAAATCACATGGGTAAAGCAGAAACAGCACCAGTAAGCAAGCAGTGAGCGCTATCACATTTCCATGAAATCCTCAAGAGGAGGCAAAAGCCAGTGTCACTGACTAGGCTCCTTATTAAAGTGGCATGAAAAGAAAATGATTCCATTGCACTAAGAGGCAGCAGCGATTCTGTTAGTGAGAGTGAATGTGGTCCTGCACAATGACCTTCCTCTCTCTGGCCTCCCTCACACCAGCCCGAAGGTTCTCAAAGCTAAGTGCAGGTTAACTTGGTTACTTTTCTTTAGAGTTCACATTTTTATTATTTTGTATTATATCACAGTACCATAGGCATTTGTATATGAATATTTTTGGGTTGTGGAACGAATCATCTGAGTTTCCATTATTTCTTACTCACTTTGGTATACAAGTGCTTTGGATTACAAGCATGTTTCCAGGATGAATAAGGCTTGTAAACCAAGGTTTTACTGTACTACAAATGAACAAGTAGAACGTGAAATTAAATACAGACTGCTGGGCCAGGGATTTAGCTAAATGGTTCTGCTGTCTGCCTCACAAGTGCAAGGTCCCTAGTTCGATCCCCGGTACCAAAAAAAAAAAAAAGAACGAAGCCCTGTGATTTTGGGCCAGGGATTTAGCTCAGTGGTTTCGCTGCCTGCTGCACAAAGTGCAAGGATCCGAGTTCGATCTCCGGTACCAAAAAAAAAATAAAATTAAATTTAAAAGAATAAACAAACACAGACTACCATTTACATTAAGACCTCAAAAAAAGGAAATATGGAGTATGTTCACTGCCCTAAAAATCCTGTGATCCACCTAAGCATCCCTCCCTGGCAACCACTGATCTTTCTGCTGCTTTCCTTCCCCAGGAGGCCACAGCTAGACTACAGTATGTATGTAGGGTTCTGCAAGCTGAGTTCTGGAACTCAGGTCATGGCCATTTCGGTTCCCTCTGTGGTGTTTCAGGGCTTGCTGTCTCACTGCTGTTTTGGCTGACCCCAGCCCCATGCAAGCTAACTGCCACGCTGCTGTGGAGCTGCACTCCCAGCCTGCTCACCCACTAATGCGGAATACTATGAGGTCTAAGATCTACATGCACAGGGTCGCCATACTGATGTGGAAGGTGCCAATGCTCACCAAATTACGTCACAGGCATGATGCAATCCCAACTAAATCTCACCTGAAGTGTTAGAAAAATAAAGCCTATACTTCATCAAGAATTTGTCAGGACTGAGCCGGGGATGTAGCTCAGCAGTGCTGCGCATGCCTGGGAAGCACAAGGTCCTGAGTTTGATCCCTGGTACCAAAGGGGAAAAAAAAACCCGAATTTGTCAGGATATCAAGATTTAAAAAAAGCAAAAAAAAAAAAGGATTTAAAAAAAGCTAAAGGGGAACCAGCCTGTTGATTGCAATGTATTATCAAATGAAAGAAATTTTAGGGGTTATTCTGATGGCAGCAATGACAACTACGCATAATAAAAGAAGGAACTCAACTGGGCACTTGGGAATGCACTCCTACCCCTCTACTCTGAGGCCAAGGCAGGAGGATTCTGAGTATGAGGCTGTCCTGGGCAACACAGAGAATGGTAAGGTAAAGGTATGGAAAGTAAAAGTTAAAAAGGTAAGGTAAAGGTAAAGGAAAAGGGAAAGGTAAGTAAAATAACTCAAAGAAATGGGTTGGGAATGGATTAACCAGTGAACGCTGCTGGGAAGCTTTACTATACTGAAAAAAATCATGTTAGACCTTTATACTTATACTTCAAACTCAAGTGCTTTCCTTTTTTTTTTTTTTGGTACTGGGGATCAAACTCAGGACCTTGGGCTTGCAAGGCAGGCCCAGTGCCAATGAGCTAAATCCCCAGCCCTCAAATAAGTGCTTTCTAAACATGAAAAGGAATAGATTTGACAACATACAAGTGTGCAACTAAAATGTTCAAAAAAGTATGCATCAAATTCAAAGACAAGCCAGATGTGGTGCTGCATGACTGTAATCCCAGCACTCTGGGAGCCTGAGGCAGGGGGATCACTGCGAATTCGAGGCCAGCGTGGGCTACATAGCAAGTTCAAAGTCAGTCTGAACAACAGTGAGACTCTGTCTCAAACAAGGAAGCAAACGAACAAAACAAAGGGAAACAGCAAATTAGAAAACATTTTTTTTTTGGTACCAGGGATCGAACTCAGGACCTTATGCTTGCGAGGCTGGTGTGGTACCACTGAGCTAAATCCCTGGCTCCCAAAAAACATTCTTAATCGAGGAACTATTACCAGACTACAAAACTACTCGGGGGTGAGAATTTAGCTCAGAGGCGCCATGCCTGCCTGGCAAGCACAAGGTCCTGAGTTCTATTCCCAGTACCACACACACACAAAATAAATAAATAAAAAGAAAAAGAAAAGAAAACTACTCAGTAAATGTTTAACTGAAGGCAGTGTGTGCTGCCTACGTGTTATTTCCTCTTAACAGTTTTAGATGATATGACTGTCTGTAAAAGGTGATTAACATCATTACAGTATTGAAAATCACAAATACTTTTGATTGGCCATTTAGAATTTAATATTAGATAGTTTTATTTTCATTAAACATAGTACATCACACATAGAGATATGGCTCACACATTATGCATTTTTAGAAAATTAAGTCTCTTATAGTCTAAAGCAGTCATTCTATGTCCTTCACATGGGTCCTCTATGAACAGCTTACCTCAAGTCACTGAGCTTTCTTTATATGACACATTGACTGTATTTGCTCTAATTTTTAAAAAAAGAAGTACTTATAAAAAATGTGACACTCATCTGACATGGAAAACTAATCACATGGAGTAAGTTTATTAATAATATATTAAATGTAATAAAGAGTTGACAACTCTGCTCAGAAGTTACATGTAACTAAGTTTTCCAATGGAAGAATAAATTTAGGATATATCAATTTTCTTTAAAAAGTAATGAGAAAATATATGAATAGCAACTGAAAAGATAAACAGGTACATTCAATGAGAATTTTTATTTCAATTATCCACAAAACAATATAGTACTTTATAAAAATATTAAGTTTTAGGGTGTCATTCATTAAAAAAAGTATTTCTGCTAGAAGGCTGTTTTTGCCAACTTCTACTTTTGGTAAGGGTTAAGTTCCACATTGAGACACGGAAGACGAAAGCTGTTGGAAAAAGCTTCAAATATACAAAACAGTTTATGTTTTTTGGCAATGTAAAAATACATAACAATTTAAAATGAATACACATTAAGTTAGTGTTTTATCCTGACTGTACAACTGTGATTAGAAGGAACTGCTCCAGTTAAAATCTAATGAATACCATCAATTTTCCTGATCAGAATTAGTAAATAAACATCATTTTGCTACTCCTTTGAAGATGCTTACAAAAATTACAATATCATAGTTCACATAAAGCCCCTTTAAAAACTCACATCACAGGTTGTCTATGTTAGGGGAAATAACGACGCCGCTCTTCCCAGGAAGCCCCTCTTGGTCAGGGGATTCAACACTAACAGGCTATGTAAACAGAGGACACAACCATACTTTTTAGTACCAGTCCTGTTGCCAACTTGCCCATTTTAAAATGGCTTGGATGTGAACATCTATACCATGGCACAGAATTTCTAATTTCATGATTAAATCAGATGGGTGATGGTAGCTACAAATTATATGCTGAAAATACAGGAACCTTATATAATGGTTTAATGTGTGACTATAAAACTTTTTAAAAACAGGAATACTAGACTTATTTATCAAATTCAGCTTTTCTCTGCTAGACTCTTAAGCCAGTAATGCTGCTATTCAAATTCACATCTTGGAATTTCTTTCTAGGTTAGTTGGAAAAATCAGTCTTACTTTGCATGTTTCATTTTATGCTTCAAATAGTCAAAACTGGCCTTGTTTGAATACGTATGTTATTATTCTGAGTAAGTTTTCCTCCCCAAATCAACTACATTCCTAAAGGGAAAAATAACCATGAAGTATATTTTCTAAAAGAATGAAGATTCAAACATGGTTTGAAAAGAGTTCTAAAAAGATTTTGCACAAAAGCTGTCACTGGAATTAGTGTGAAGCCTTCACTTCACTATTCTGAGGACATAACACTCATTTAGGCTGTATATTAAGAAAGATTAGTTTTACAGATATACCTTTTAACTCTTTAAGTCTCAGTAAAACAAGTGAGGAGCTCTGAGTGCCAGCAAAGCCACTTTGTCCCCTGTGACATCAACATTAAACATTCCATTCCAGCCCTCTACCTGTAAAACTTTCACATGTTCTTTTCTCATATTTCTTTTAAATACATTTTCCCTCTCTCTCAGTCTATATTTAAAACAAGCAAAGTGCATTCAAGTCCCTGATCTAGTGATTTTTCTATTTGTGGCACCCATCACCGTAAGAACACAATAGCAACATCTCACAGTACCAAGTCTATTTTTAAAGAATGGACTGCTCAAATGTTGGGTCTTACTTTTCATGCCATCTAAAGTTTAAAAGATTTCCCCTTGGATTGGATAGTACAATTTCAGTTATATACTGCCTTTAAAAAAATCAATGCAACCATATAACAGATTAACTCATTTTTCAGGTTATCTTCATTATTCTATACTGAACTACTCAGAAAATGACTTCAGTGAAAAAATTTTTTCTACTTTCCAGTTCCAAGAATCGGAGTATAAACATAGTGCATTACACTGCTGTGCTGTAACATTTAGTCAAGTTTTAAATCCTGTTTAAAAATCCTTTTTTTTTGCTTTTGAAAAGCCTAGACCATTTCCACACAAAAGGAGGCATATGTTAAGACCGCAGATTGACTGTTTAACATAGAAAAAAAACTTTTGAGAATAATAAATCCAACAGATTTTTTTAAAAAAACTGGAATGGAATTATTTGGTCCTATGAGTTTCTTTAGATTTTACTTACGGTATAACTTTTTACCTCCCAAGTTTTATCTTTAATAATAAATGTTTCTCTTAAAATTATGAGAAATAATGTCTATTACAGAAAATAATTCTGAGTTTGGGGAAGAAAAGAAAGGAAATGATTTAAAACAGTAGCCTTGCTGCTCTTCCCTACCATTCTATCACTCACACTGTCATCAATATCTTAGCTCTACTGTCTTTGGACCCTGCAATAAGTTGAAAAATTCATCATTGGTACTTTAAAGTTTAACACTTGGAGAAAAAAAAAGTGGTTTTGTGCAACCATACCTGGAATTCCAGTTTACCATTAAAAACATGCAGAGTGAAGAAGACCTTCTTCTGATTCCTGTCCACAAGGAACTCTATACAAGTTCTTTACATTTTGGCAGATTTGTGCATATAAAATAGGCTATTTGGGTTATAAATTTTCTCCTGGCTGGTACTGTGGTTCTGTAGCAGTGAAGTAGTCTTCCAAGAAGGACTGAATATATTCAAATGTTGGTCTTTCATCAGGGTCCTTCTTCCAGCAAAGGTTCATCAATTCATGGAGTGACTCTGGGCAGCCCTGAGGGCAGGGCATTCTGTATCCCCGCTCCACCTGCTCCAGCACCTCGCGGTTCACCATACCTGACACACAAGAGTCACACATCAACCCATACATGTAGGAATAGAACAAACTGACACAGGCATATAAAGCTTACTCAGTGAAAAGCTCCTTTCAATAGAAAGACAAATTTTAAATATCAGAGTTTATCAAAAGAAACTTAGAAAATCTTCCTTTAACAAGTCAAATTTTTCATTCCACCTAATTTTTTACTTTTAACACTAACATCTTCAAAAGCCAACCCCATGTGATTAAGGAGAACCCAGGCTGTCATTCTGAGTTACTGATACTTTCTGATATTACTATTTAGCAACAACCTCGCTTGGGCTAATGAGGAATGGTGGGCAAGGGGGTTTCTGAAAGAACTTTCAAGCAGGATTCAGAGGGAAGAACTGTAGTCTTGGTTTTGCCACAAGTACTGACTGTGTAACTTTAAACTTAGTCACCTACCTGAAGCAGTCTCCTTATCTGTTACCATTTGTTGGACCTTCTTCAGGTTACACAGTTTCTTTCTTGTACTGCTCTGTAGCCCCCACCCCCAACAGCTCACCTTGTGTTGTCACAGGCCAATAAAGGTCTCTTTCCCCAAATTCTTCTTCTCTTCACTGTCTCCCCACTCCCCACCTCACCTTTCAATGCCTGTCCACAAGTCAGGCTGTCCTTCCTACCTCCTGCCATCTGGAACTGACCATTAGCAATGAGATGTCTCATACACCATGATTCCCTTAAAACAATGTAATGGCATTTATTAATTAGCTCTAGTTTTAGTTACAGTGTTTCTCAGGAATAAGTGATTCTACAAAACATTTTAAGGAAAAACTATTAAAGGAAACTGGAATTTGGGGTCTAATACTTGAAAGGAAGTTTTCTGAGATTTTCATCTAGGTAGGCAGCATCATCTTTGTAAATGAAATGCAGTACATTTTATCCACCACAGAAATACAACCAGAAATTGTTAGTGGGAAGCAGAAAAGGAGCAAGGTACTTAGCATTCAGTGAGGGCTTACTAAAATTAGAAGACGTTTTCCCCCTGCACTCTTATGCCTTTGTTCTTTTATTTTATGCTTCTTAATTATTTTAACAGACTAAGATTAATCAATCTAGATAAGCCTGAATATAACAAAAAACCTCCCAGTTACCAATAAACTTGGGTTCTGAACCCAAGGCCTGCACCTGCAACGTATATGCTCTATTACTATATTATGTACACGAACCCCTAGTTATCAATAAACTCTTCCATTCAAAACCTGACTCTCCAGAATTTTCTGATAACCACAACTACTGAATGATTTTATGCCAACAGTGAGGAAAGTAAACTACGGCCAGAATGCCTCCTGGCAGGAGTACTCTCTATCTTCAGGAAGAGAACCATTTCCTGCCAGGGAGCTTCCGAGTGAGACACAACTCCCTGAGCACACAGGAAGTTGGATGTCTCCCACACTGCTCAGAAAAAAAGGAGACAGGAACAGGCGAATTCAAAGATTGTCAACTCTTAAAATCAAGCAGTAAATATTTAGCACCCTGTTAATAAATTTAAATATGTCATACTTGATTGCATTTGCCCAGGTGTGGTACTGTCCCAAACTAAGACTAGCAAAGAGACACTGTGGGGCTGGGGATTTAGCTCAGGGGCACTACATGTGGTTCACAAGAGCAAGGTCCTGAGTTCAATCATCTGTACCTGGAAAAAAAAAGATGCACTGTGGCTTTGCAAAGGACAGTCCGGTGAGAGAAGAGCCTGCAGCAGATACGTCTGGACAACACGTGAACCAGAGGCAGACAGTGATGCTTATATAGCATCTTCCTCTTCTTTAAAGACTGGCACCCATGAGATCGTGGGTTTGACCTGTGGCACAGCCAAATACATGACTTCCAATTTACAAATCATTTATATTTTGATTCTCATCTGGACAGTTAAGTTATCCTAATCATATTTATTTTTGTATTGTATATTTGCAGCTATGGAGTTAGTTGCATATTCATTTTGGGCCTTTAGATTTCCCTATTTAATTGGCCATTTTATTGTTAAGAAATGTACTTTTGTCTCTAATAACTGCTACACAGGTTTTGTTTTGGTTAGCATTTGCATAGTTTATTTTTTTGCAACCTTAAATTATAATCATTTTGTAAACCCTGTCCTTAACGTATGTCTCATAAACAGTGTTACAGCACTTATGTATTTAAAATCTAGCCTTATCTCTATCTTTTAATTGGTATATTTACTGAACTTATTACATACTATCATGGATGTAAGTGGGTTTAACCCTACCAATATATTACTGTACTTATTTACTATTTGTCCCACATAGTTTTTTCTTTTTATTTTGATCAGGCAAGTATTTTTCATTAATCTATTTATTTTCCCACACTTTACCACTGAGCTACCACCTCGTTCCTCTCCTAGCTTTTTATTTTACTTTCTTTTATCACTTCAGTGGTTGTCCCTTGAGATACAGTACAATATTCTTCTTTGGTTATACTTTAAATGAGTACTTTTATGCTTTCCAAACAATGAAAGAAACTTAGAACAGCTTACCTGTTACTCCTTTACCTCCCTGTCCTTTGTATTACTGTCATAGAATTTACTTTTTTTTTTTCCTTTGGTACCAGGGATTGAACTCAGGACCCTGTGCTTGTGAGGCAGGCACGGTGCCACTGAGCTAAATCCCTGGCCCATCTAATTCGTTCTTATTTCATGTTTTACACCTCTAAAATTTCCATTTGCTTCTTTGTTATAAATCCCAAATCTGTTGAAATTCTCCAGTTTTTTCATCATGTTGTCAATGTTTTCCCATTTTAAATTAAAAAATAACATTATTGAGGTATAATTCATATAACTATATAATTCCCCATTTAAAGTACATAATTTGATGGTTTTTAATACATTCAGTTACATAACCATCACAAGTCAACTTTAAAACATTTTTATCAACCCCCCCAAAAAACCTGTATCTATTATCAATCATCCCCATTTCACTCTAATCTTTCCTACTAGACAACCACTAGTCTGCTTTTTGTCTCTGGGGATTTCCCCTTTTTGCCACTGCATATAAATGGAATTCTACGTGTGTGTGCATGCATGCATCCATCTTCTTTCAGCTGACACAGCGTTTTCCAAACCATCTTCCTTTTTATTTTTTTATTCATTAAGTTTATTGGTACATTTTAGGTATACAGTACAGTTACATTCATCATTGGGATCTTGTACCTTTGTATAATAGATCTTGGTTCTTATTTTTTCCCCATTCCTCTGCCCTCCCTTCACCCTCTCCTCCCCTTCCCTATTTACAAAGACTTTACTTCCATTTTTTTTCCTTTTCTTGTATTTTTTCTTTTCCTTCCCCTACCCCTCCTGCTTTGCCTAGTCCTTTAGACCTTTTCCTCCTTTTCACAATATCAATTATACATTTTGATCCTTATTTACACTTTTAGTTTCTCACACCAGAGAAACTATTCGGTATTTACATGTGTGTCCTATTTATTTCACTTAAGAGTATGGCCTCGATATGCATCCATTTAGCTATAAATGTCTCTAGTTTCTCATTCTTTATGGCTGAGTAGTACTCCATTTTATTAAAAAACCACATCTTCTTTATCCAATCTCCAGTTGATAGGCATTTGGGGTGTTTGCAAGTTTTAGCGATTACAAACTGTGCCTCTATAAACATGGGTGAGCATATATCACTCTGGTATGATTCTTTTAATTCTTTTGGGAAGATACCCAGCAGAGGAATAGCTGGGTCAAATGGGACTTCTAATCCTAGTTCTTTGAGGTGTCTCCATATTGATTTCCACAGTAGTTGCACCAGTCTGCACTCCCACCAACAATGGAGAAGGGTTCCTTTCTCCCCATACCCCCACCAGCATTTGTTATTGGTTGATTTCTTGATAGCAGCCATTCTTTGTGGGGTGAGGTGGAATCTCAGTGTTATTTTCACCTGCATCTCTCGAATGACCAGTGATGTTGAACATTTTTTCATGTTTATTTGCTGCTTTACTTTTTTTTCTGTTTTCTTTTTTGCTGCTTTACTTCTTTGAGAAACGTCTGTTCATTTCAGATGCCCATTTTTGAATTGGGTCTTTACATTTGGGGGTCTCATTTTTTTGAGTTCTTTATATATTCTACATAGTAGACCTTTGTCTGAAGAACATCAGGTAAAAAATTTTCCCACAGTGTAGGTTGTCTCTTAGCTCTGCTGGTGGTTTCTCTTGCAGTGCAGAAGTTTTTTAATAACATGAGATGCCAATTGTTGATTCTTGGTGCTAGTTCCCGTGCTACTGAGGATCTGTTCATAAAGTTTTTTCCTATGCCAATGTCTTCAAGGTTCTACCTAACTTATCTTCCAGCAGCAAGTTTAGTGTTTCTGTTCTAATATTTAGATCTTTAATCCACTTCGATCTTACTTTAGTGCATGGTGACAGATAGAGGTCTAGTTTTAATCTTTGGCAAGTTGAAATCCAGTTTTTCCAACACCGTTTATTAAATAGTGAAGATGGTTGGCTCCTTTGTCAAAGATGAGGTACCTGAGTATGTCTGGAGTTGTTTCTGTATCTTCTAGTCTATTCCACTGATCCTCGGGTCTGTTTCTTTGCCAGTACAATGCTGGTTTTATCACAGTGGTTTTGTAGTATAATTTCAAGTTGGGGATTGTGATAACCCCTGCCATGTCTCTGTTGCCTAGAATTGCTTTTGCTATTCTAGATCTCTTCTGGTTCCAAATGAATTTTTGGATTGTTTTCTCTAGATCTGTGAAATATACTGTTGGGATTTCAATCAGGATTGCATTGAATCTGTATAGCAGCTCTGGAAGTATGACCATTTTCACTGTATTGGTTCTTCCTACCCAAGAACAAGAGATGTCTTTCCATTTTCTTATATCTTCTTAGATCTCTTTTTTCAGAGTGTTATCGTTCTCAATGTAGAGGTCTTTTGCTTCCTTCATTAGACTGATTCCTAAATATTTCATTTTTTTGGATGCTACTTTGAAAGGGATTTTTTTCCCTAATTTCTCTCTCAGTAAGACTGTTATTTGTATACAAGAAGGCTACTGATTTTTGAGTGTTTACCTTGTATCTGCTACTCTACTGTATCTGTCAATTAAGTCTAGAAGTATTTTGGCAGTTTTCTGGGTCTTCAATGTAGAGTACTGTATCATCAGCAAATAATGACAGTTTAACTTCTTCCTTTCCTATCTTTGCTCCTTTTATTTCTTTCTCTTGTCTAATTGCTGTGGCTAATTTTTCCAAAATTATATTGAACAGGAATGGTGATAGTGGACATCCTTGTCTTGTTCCTGATTTTAGTGTGGTTTTCAGTTTTCGACCATTTAGTATTATGTTGGCTGTTGATTTTTCATAGACTGCCTTTATCAAGTTGAGATAAAGATCCTCTATTCCAATTTTCTGCAGGATTCATCATGAATGGGTGTTGAATTTTATCGCATGCTTTTTCTGCATCTACTGATGTGATCATATGGCTTTTGTCCTTGACTGTGTTAATATGATGTAGTACATTTATCGATTTATTTTTGTTGAACCATCCTTACATCCCTGGGATAAATCCGACTTGGTCAGGGTGTATTATCTTTTTATTTTTGGTACTGGGGATCGAACTCGAGTCCTTGCGCTTGCACAGCAGGCGGCGAAACCACTGAGTTAAGTCCCCGGCCCTGATCTTTTTGATGAATACCCTCTGTATTGTTTGCCTGTATGTTATTGAGGATTTTTGTATCTATGTTCATTACGGAGATTGGCCTGTAGTTCTCTTTTTGGTTGGGTCTTTCCCTGGTTTTGGAATCAAATAACACTTGCTTCCAGGAATGAATTTGGAAGTATTGCTTCCCTTTCAACTTCCATTTTAAGTATTGCTAATTTGAAAGCTTTTGGTAACTTCAAGATCAGGATTATCTCTGGGCCTGTTCCTATTGATCTTAAATTCCTGATAACCAGTAGTTTCTTCTTTTTCTTCCATGTCTATTAACTTTCTTTTATGCTGGACATTTTGAGTTATACACTGTGAATTATCTACATCATTACCTTTTTCTAAAAGACGTTAGGTTTTACTCACCAGTAAATTTACTGGCCAATTATTACCTGGGTCCTATTTGTCAAGGCCTGGCTTTGGGTTTGTTTACCTCTGCCCTTTCCCCTAGAGCGAGCATTTCCACCGACACCTGTCTACTTGAGCTGGCAGCCACTCCCCAGCATGTCACAGCCTCTGAGCTCTGCAAGGCTCTCCAGAAGCCTAGAGGCTGTTTCCTGTTAGGGGTCTGAAGCCTGTCCTTGTGTATGTGCAGCTTCAAGAGAAGATCGAGGACCCGTGGGGAACTCTGAGGAAGAATTTTAGTCTTTCACTGTCACTCCTTCCTTTCGAGGACCCTGCCTTCCATAACCTGGGCACTTGGTCTGTCTCCTCTGCTCAGTAAGACTGACGCTGCCTGTTGGGCTTTCTTCCCCGTGCTCTTTTAGAACAGCCTTCAGGGAGAAAGGTGGAGTAAACAGAGGGCTCACTTTATGTGCTTACCCTTCTAAGGACTGTGGCCTTCACTGGTTGTTGTACAACAGCTGTGTTACATATTTTGTCTAACTTTTGTAGTTATTTGTAGTGAGGTTGTAAGATGGGTATTAGCCCCGTCATCATGGCCCCAACTAAAAGTTCCTCTTGGCTATAAGTCCAAAGTAAAACTACATCATACGGTTATATTGCTGTCTCCAGTTATGTATGTAGGTATAATGTAGGTACAGCTAGATTTTATCTATTGTTGTGATTTTGCCAGACAAATGAGAAAAGACAGAAAAGCAAAGGACAAATGTAAATAAACACAAAGGTCTGATTGTACTACTTCACCATGAGATTTAAGGAGTGATTTCATGAAGAGGGTGGAGGCAAAGGTAGTAGAATCAAGGGATTAAAGATCCAGAGTGTGTAAAGAAAATGCTAGGGTTTGAGTAGAAAAACTGGAGAGACATGAGGCAGTGGTCAGAGAGTGGATGTGTAGAACAACAATTATGAGCAGTGCAGTTATTGGCAATGTGTTTTTGTTTTTGTTTTTTTTGGTACCGGGGATCGAACTCGGGTCCTTGTGCTTGTGAGGCAAGCGGCGGATCAATGTGAAGGTTTAAGGCATGAGTGATGACAAGATCACAGATGAGAAAGGTTCCGGAAACAAGAGCCCCAAGAATCACTGACAGGTAAAGGTGAAGTAAGATGATCCTGAATTAGACAGGAGTGGAGTCTGACTGGGAAGGGCAAGGGGGAGTCACTAAGAGAGCAGAACTTGGACAGTGAGTATTAGCATTAACAGGAATGAGGGGAAGTGCATGGTAACACGGTGGCATTAGAGCTACAACTGGAGGTGTTAGGAGGATATGCTAGAAAATGTGCAAAAACCTAAGGTTTGCATAGCAGTTTTTCACGAAGACTGGATTTCATATGCTTTCAGTCTCCTCAACCAGCATCAGACTAAAATACTCAATTCTAGCTCAATTTCATTGCCCTAGAAGCAAGTAGGCAAGCTATTTATTTTTTAGGAAGGATACATTTTTTCCCCTCAGTAATTATATAAATTTCCTCTTAAATAGTCCATTGAGGAAAAGAGGGCAAATACATGTGTATTTACAAAAATATACCAGTCATACTTGTAGAAAGGAACAATCACTGTACAGGGGGATGGGGGCAGCATATACTTCTGATCTGAGAGAAGAGAACAGATAAAAGATCTGTTAGGAAAAGGTCCTAAAGGAGAAGGCAGAGAGGAATACCAAGCAAGCCTTCTGTGCTTGCCCCACCCCAAGGACTGGGCTCTTACTCAGCGTTTTCCATCCCATTCCAAAATAAGGAGCAGGCATGGGGAGAGAAGAAAGCCCCCACCATACATACACTGCTGTTCCTAGTACACTCCCACTGGGCACCGACAGGACCACCAAGAGCTAATGCCAAGCTGGCTTACCTGGATATGGCACTCTCCCCTTTGTGACAAGTTCTGTCTGTAGAATTCCAAATGACCATACATCAGACTTTATTGTAAATCGACCATAAAGTGCAGCCTCAGGAGCTGTCCATTTGATTGGAAATTTTGCACCTAAGACAATATTGGCAATCTTAAATTGATTGTTTTTTAAAAAATCTATTTGTGCAAATATGAGCAGGGCTAATCTTTTGTCAATGTCCTTACTGTATGCATCACTGGTGTCCAACTTTTCAAACATGCAAAGTATATGGGCAAAATTTTTAATTTTTAAAATTTATATTAAAACAAATCAATTTCTTCCTTGTAAGATATTCAGTGATATAAAAAAGAGGCAGGTGTGGGAATTCACACATGTAATCCCAGCCTTTGGAGGCTGAGGCAGGAGGATTGCTGGGAGTCCAAGGCCAACCTGGGCTACACTGTGAGTTCAAGGCCAGCCTGACCAGGGAGACCTTGTCTCAAAAAAACCCCAAAATAAAACAAAACAACAATAAAACAAAGAAAGTTGGTAGTGCAAACAAAATCATTCAAGAAAACAGAGGTAGGAATTTTGGTATGGTAGTACATGTTTGTAGTTACTTAGAAGGCTGAGGTAGAAGGATCACAAATTCAAGGCTGGTCTGGGCTTAGGCTCTGTCTCTAATTTGTTTCTAAAAAAGGGATGGGGATGTAGCTCAGCAGTAGAGCACTTGTCTAGCATGTGTGAAGCCCTGGATGCCATCTCAGTACCACAAAATAAAATTTTAAAAAAGGAAGGATGGGTAGATGGAAGGAAAGAAGAAAAGGAGAGAAGGAAGGAGGGAGGGAAGGACAGAGGGAGGGATATGACACTCTAAGCCAAAAATATGGCTTATAAAATATGGACAACAAAATCTGTAACTTGTAGCTGTGAGCTGATGAGGATATATTCTGTTGGGGTCTAATGGCCACCGGTTTTCAACCATATTCTTTTTTCTTTATTATGATATCTCTGGATATTTTTACTGTGTTATCAATTGGAAAAGCCCCTGTTAATTTATTCAAATATTTAGTGTATGCCTGTTATGAATAGGCAATATTCTAATCATTACAAGCACATAAAAACATGGCTTTCATGAAGTTTATATGCTCATGATAGTAAGGTTATAAGTGCTTTATATATTTGAAGTTATCTACAAGTATATGTAAGTATAATGTGGTACAAAGCAGAGTGTATTAGATATTTCAACAAACAGAAGATAATTTTCACTGGCACAATCACAAAAGATTTCATTGAAAGAGTGGCAGCTAAACTAAGCCTTAAATGAATGGTTAGGATTTTACAAGTAAAGATTACAGAAGAATAAGAAGATATTTCAACTAGACATAACTGCATGAAAGTAGAGAGATTAAAAAGGTGTGGTTAAATCAGGATTTCTCAACTTGGCAATACTGACCATTTTGGGCCTGGTAATTCTTTGTGGTGGTGGGGTCTAGCCTGCCATTGTAGGACATTTAGCAGTATCCCTGGCCTCAACCCAGTCAGTGCCAGCAGTAGCCCCTGCTTTGTGACATTCAAAAATGTCTCTAGATACTGTCAGATGTGTCCTGGGAGTAAGGAAAGTCACTGTCCTTACTGAGAGCCTCTAAGGCAACAGTTCAAGAACTGATCGAGTATAAAGAGACTATATTACTTGCTATAATTTCTCATTCAAAGAATATCTGGTCAACTTCTTCCTCATAGGAAATATCTAAGAAAGTCACAGTAATATATATTCTATATAGTTTTATGAATAAAATCAGTGTTCTATGACTCCTTTGAGAGGAACCAGAACTATTCTTACTGTATAAAAACCTGTATTTTCAAAAGCATGTTAAGTAAGAAAAAACACAGGACATTAGGTTATGAGCATTTATATAAAAGTAATTTTACCTTGTCTTGCAGTGTATTCATTGTCTTCAATTAATCTTGCTAAACCAAAATCTGCTATTTTGCACACAAGATTTTCTCCTACAAGAATATTAGCAGCCCGAAGATCTCGGTGGATGTAGTTCATTCTTTCAATATATGCCATACCATCAGCAATCTTGGCAAGGAACACAACATGTTAGGAAGGAAGCAGGGAGAAGCTATCAGGTCTTTTTCTCAAAAGTAGATGACAGCAACAAGCACAGTCTAGGAGATGACACTAATACTACAGCACACTACATTCAACCTACAAAAATCTGACACACCTCTAGCACTGCACACAAAAAACTCCTGACTCATATTCCAAGGGTTAAGCTTTTCAGCCTACCCGTATATCCAGTTACTGTTGGCAATGTAATGTCACGTCCTAATGTCTTCTTGTTTCTGTGACAGAGGTAAGTCACAGGGTTATTTTGAACCTCTGGGCACAAGCCCGTCAAGGCCCCAATCAGAAACAATCTAAAATGACCTGGTGACAAGAGTACCGGCCACTATAGCTTACAGGGACAACTAGGTGTTCTACAAACTGGTTCCAATATTGGTTCTGCTACCAACAAGTTATGTGAATTCTAGGTATTTCTGATCTTCAGATGCTACATGATCTGTAATATTAGGAGTTCACACTGGATTACTTCCAATGTTCCTTCCTGTCCTATTCTGTTAAGATAACTCTACATTTTAAATGTATACTTTCAATTCAAATTGACTGATACATGTATATGCAAGTACCTGAGCAGCCATATCGACCAGCTGTGGAAGCTTCAAATACTTTCCATCTCCTTCCTTAAGGAAATCTAATAAGCTCCCTATAAGAGACAAGATATTCAGAAAAAGTAAGAAAATCTTGTATTAAGATTAAAATAAATACTCCTCCAATCTCAAAACAAATCACCCTACCACAATACAAAATCTTTCACCTTTTGATTTTTAAATTTATTTTTGTTCTGGAATTTCTGAATAATCATCTTAATATTCTACAATAGATCCTTAAACTAAAAATCTGGAAACTTTTCTTGACAGCATACAAAGAAGGTGAAAATGTAGTCTTTCCCTTTCCTAAGAGAACTGAGTCATTCAGATTGGAGTCATTCTTTCCTTGCTTTGATCAAGATTCTAATTTTGATTTGCAAAGTAGTATTAGACACTTACATATCTTGAAGTCTATATGAATCACGAACTCAGACAACTCAGAGTATCCTGGGCTGGCTACAATTAACTATAAGCAGCTAAGTGAGCTGCAGTGGGAGTGCCGGCCTGACCAAGAGCTCTCAATTTTAGCAGAAGATACCATGGAGCAGAAAAGTACTGTTGAAGGGCCGGGGATTTAGCTCAGTGGCACCACGCCTGCCTCACAAGCACAAGGTCCTGAGTTCAATCTCCCATACAAAAAAAAAAGTACTGTGAACACAGCAAAGTGAAAGACTTGGAAGAAAAGTATGGTTGTTGCCTTTCTATAACTGGTTAAAAGCATACCATGGATTTGAATTTAATCAAGAGAAAATAAATCCAAATTAAGGGACATTTTATAAAACAAAAAACTGAACTGCTCTCTTAAAACATAACAATATGAGGCCAGGGATTTAGCTCAATGACACGGAGCCTGCCTTGCAAGCACAAGGTCCTGACTTCTATCCCCGGTACCAAAAAAGAAAAAAAGAAAAAAACACAACAATGTATGAGGACCCCCCTCCCCCACAAAAGTTGAAGAACAGTTCCAGACAACACAATGGAACACATGACCCGAAACTAGATACTGACTGTGACCTGACACTGGACTAGGCCAGTGTAGTTGGTGGGTGGGGAAACCAAATTCCAGGTGAAGAAAACAACAATCTGAGGTGGGGCTTGGGTGTATCTCCGTGGTAGAGCATGTACTTAGCTTGAGTAAGGCCTTGGGTCCAACCTCCAGCCTCACAAAAACATATGTACATACAGAAAGAAGAAGTAAAAGAAAATCTATCTGTTGACAGCAGTAGGTTAATGCTGGAGTACATGAAGCAATGACTTTGGATGGATTTTGGGGGGCCAATTACTAAGTAACCGAAAGCCAAAATGGGGAATTACTGAGTTTTAAAACTAGAAAAACTTTTACTGTGTATTCTAAATCTCCACCTGAAAATAATCCCAATCCAGTGATCTGACAACACAGAATTTGACCACGGCTCCCATGGAAATGATCCTTTCTTTTTTGGTGTGGGACTAGGAATTGAACCCGGGGAGTGCTGGGCTACACACCCCCCCCAGGCCTTTTAATGTTTTTTTTAAATTTTCAGACAGGCTTTCAATAAATTGCCCAGGTGGGCCTCAATCTACCTGCCTCAGCTTCCCAAGAAGCTGGGGTCACAGGTATGCCTCCATTATATTTCTCCCACTACCAATATCTTTTTTTCTTTTTTTCCGCTACCAGTATCTTGATTTAAACTTCCTCCCTGTCACAGTTCATTTAATGCACTCTCCAAAATGACATAATCGGCAGTTGTTTGGCATAGAAATTCTTTCCAAAGACTGCCATGCACTCTGGTGCTTGAGGTTATGTTTTGGCTGTCAACAAACAGTCTACATCTCTTAGTTTCCATTCTTTTTGAGGGAAAATTTTTTCTTACAGCAAATATGTAGTTTGTAATTACCCGTCACCCCTAGATGAAACTATGTCACTGGACAAGGTAGACTAACGGAGAGGGTGACTCAACCAAGTAAAATGACAAATTCAAAAACAGAGTCAACTCAAAATAGCTTACATTGGGCCAGTGAGTATATTTTCTGACTTACTAGATCCTCTGCAGAAAGAGGGGAAGAGCATCAGTCTTCCTTTTTATTGGCCTGGCCCTTAACTCTTACTAGTCTGGGTTTGGGAGAAGGGAAGAGCGGAAAAAAGAAGTTCCTAAGAGTTCTGAGCAGAGGAAGTGGGTTTACATTAAAATGAGATAAAATTAATTTCCCTTACTTCTTTACTTTAGTACTAAGGATATAAATATCTTTCTGATTTTATCATTTCAATTCAATTTGTTTTATTTTTCAATTTCCCTGGCTATTCTGTTTCCTTTAGTCAAATCTTTCAAAATAAATTCAGCCTGCCTATTTTTCCTTTTAAACTCTGTAACAGACTCAGGAATAACTGGAATGCATCATTTCCATTAGTGTCACATTTCCTGTTTTAAAATGTCTACTAAACTCTTAAATTACAAAGCACTATTCAATACAAATCTATATTTAGAAAAACTGAAAGAAGACTCTGTTTCTTAAACAACTTACCAACATGAATACTCCAAGAGAGAAGCACACATACGTACCTTTGGACATAAATTCAGTGACAATGTAAATTGGCTCTTCAGAAACAACAGCATAGAGTGGAACAAGTTTATCATGTCTTAGTTTTTTCATTATCTGCGCTTCTTGAAGAAAAGCTTCTGGCATCATTGTGCCTGGTTTTAGAGTTTTGATTGCTACTTTTGTGGTTCCATTCCATGTTCCTAGAGAGACAATTTTCAATCTATAGTGAGATTTTTAGACTAAACTTCAATGAACAGCAGTTAAATACTTAAACCTATTTTATCATAAGTTGTACCACTTTAATGTATGGACAAAAACCCACCCTCCTCCAAAGAGCTCAGGCTTCTTACCCATCCATACTTCACCAAAGCATCCTTGTCCTAGTTTGACCTCTAGTCGCAAAGACTCCCGAGGAATTTCCCAAGCATCTTTTGCTAGACCTTGAGTCTGGGGTTTCACAGTTGGACACACAGTTGTTAACTTGTGGCATAAACCATCAGCATGTTCTAGATAAATGAATGAACTACATTGTAAAATAAATTCCTTACAAAAATTAAAATGCATATATAATAATTTTTTTAAAAACCTTTAAAAAATTGTAGAAAAGTAAAAACACAATAGTCTACCAATTTTACTCTAAAAATATAAACATAGCCAGGTGTGGTGGCACACGCCTATAAGCCCAACATTGGGGAGGCTGAAGCAGGAGGATTGCTATAATTTGAGGCTAGCCTGGGCTACACAGTGAATTTAAGGCAGCCTGAACTACATAATGAGACCCTGTCTCAAAGAAAACAAAACAAAACACAAAAACAGAACTGTCTATAAGAAGAAAACAAAATAGCATACATACATAGTAAGAGCCAGGTGGTGGTACACATGTATAATCCCAGTTCTCTGGGAGGCTGAGGCAGGAAGACCACAAATTTTAGCCCAGCCTGGGCAACTTAATGAGATTCAGTCTCAAAAATAAAAGAGGGCTGGGGATGCATTTCATTGTGAAGGCCCTGAGTTCAACCCTAGTACCATACAAAAAAGCAAAGCATTCTGTTAAGTACACTTTTATGTTATTACGTATTAAATATACGTATATTTGTATAATATCTCATATAAATAAGTTATGGGATTCGGCTCGGGTCAGCCAGTGTACAAAATTCTCTTAACCACTGGGATTTACTTATTCTTAAGGAAATGCTGTCACTGTAATTTCTAATATTAATAACTAATTTGCAAGACATTGAAAATCAAGATGTTCATTTAGGGGACTGAATTCTAAGTAAGGGCGACACAAAGGCAGGGAACCCCACATTCACAATGGCTTGACCTGTGTATCCTTGGGAGACACATTTCCTCCATTCTCATCAAGTTACCACACAAATTCACACTCTTAACAAGGGCAAGTACAAGTGGTGCCACTGCTTGTACCATGTTTGGTCAAAGTCAAGAGTGCTGGCTGACTTGATAGACTGTTTGCAGCTAGCTGTCAACGAAGAAGAAAATACCATGGAAACTTGCTCTCTAATACTAACCATTTAGGCTTACACAGATCCATTTACATATCAAATTGATAAAGAGAAACTGATGTACGACTCCAATATTGAATATTTTTCAAGTCTTTGAAAAATAAGAACATCTACAGTTGCTATGGCTTAATTTTCAAGGATAAGACCAAATTCCATTGGGCTTATTATTATTTTGTTATATTTTGGTGCTTTTTTGGTACCAGCGTTCGAACTCAGGACCTTGCACTTGTGAGGCAGGTGGCGGAACCACTGAGCTAAATCCCCATAGTTTGGTTTTTTGAAACAGGGTCTCACTATGTAGTTCAGGCTGGCCTCGAGCTTGGGGCAATCCTCTTACCTCAGCCTCCTGAGTGCTGGGATTATAGGAGTGCACTACCACACCTGGTTTTTGTTTTTTTTGTTTTTCCACTGGGTTTATACTTTAGGAAATCTTATGAGATCCAGCATCTGCAGGGGAAGATTATCTAAGAGGATGTCTTACAAAGCTTCTTAGGTGTAGTGCTTAGTTTTACCTATTTGGTAAGTGTCCATAAATAAAAACTTGCTCTTATGTTTTTTAATTCACTTTCATACTCTGCCTATATGCCATGAAATAGAACTCCAATGTAAACACTATGCCAGTAAGGATTCTAATAACCATCTGAGTTTAGCACATTATCCAATACCTCAATTCAGATACTATTAAGTCTGCTCCTGATTTTAAAACCAGAGGGCAATTAGTATGTTAGAAGAACAAGAAGAAATTCAGGTAGAGAAAATGTGTTTTAATGGCCTTTGTGATGGTGCTTGGTCAGTCTTGGTTCTAAAGGTACCAAATGAGGAAGCCAAAGTTCTTCTCAAACTTCTGGGTATTTGACAAGGAAAATCTACTTTTGCCTTATGATCTACACATTTATGACCTAAGTCAAGTAAATATGCCTGGTTTACTTCTTTAACATTTTTATACAGACATTCTGTTATGCACTGTGTTTTCAGATGTGCAACAACTTGTACAATGGTTTATTCCTAAGTATGCCTTAAACAGAACAAATGTGTTTTTTCTATATAGTTCCTTACCTTAATAAATATGTAAGGAGGGCCGGGGTTTAGCTCAGTGGTGCCACCACCTGCCTTGCAAGTGTAAGGTCCTGAGTTTGATCCCTGGTACCAAACCAAACCAAACCAAAATATGAAAGGGCCGGGGATTTAGCTCAGTGGTGTTGCCACTTGCCTTGCAAGCACAAGGTCAAGAGTTTGATCCCTGGTACCAAAATAAACCAAAAAAAACCCCTTAATAAATACGTAATATAAATTTAAGCAAACTTCTATTTTACATATGTGTAAACAAATGAACATTTTGTGGAGTTTGTATTTTGCATACTAAAGGAGAGAAATAAGTTTTAAATAAACCTATAATATTTATCTGGAAAAAAATAAAACTAGAGGCCAGGTGTAGTGGAACACTCCCATAACCCCAGCACTGGGGTGGCTGAGGCAAGAGTCTGAAGCCAGCCTAAATCACATAGTGAGATACTATACCAAAAAGAAAACAAACAAACCTAGACACATTTACTGGGCACACACTAAAGACACTGATTTTTGTCCTCATAAAAGAAATCGTGAGAAAGTTAAGTTTTTTTGGGGTTTTTTTTTGGTACCAGGGATCGAACTCGGGTCCTTCTGCTTGCGCAGCAGGCAGTGAAACCACTGAGCTAAATCCCTGGCCCAAGAAAGTTAAGTTTTTAGTTTCGAAATATTTACCCACCTGTGTAGTGTTTCACCAATTTCTGCAGCGTTTCAAACTGTGCTCTGGTCGTGATATAGTACCCACCACTGTCAAGCTTCCTGATTTTGTAGTGTTTCACATTGTCGCCCCTTACCTCATCCCAATCACGAATAGAGAGGGAGTAAGCACCTGGGGAGGGTGGATGAACATTTTTACTCTACTTTTCTCAAAACACTGCCCAAGGAAATTTTATGCTTGTATTAATATATTAATTCATACCTTTAGTAGTTTCACTTTCTCTTACTAAGAATATACCTTGTTGATTCCCAGGATTCAGAAGTAATCGTTCAGCATCTTTTCTCCCCATTTTGCCAAAATACCATCTGGAAAAACATTAATGGTGTTAATATCAGAAAGATATGAGTCAGAAAAACTATATATGTAGAAGTATCAATAAGAGAGTGGGACAGTGAGGACAACAAAGAATAGCCACAGAATATGGCTTAAAATATAGGACATAAATTCCTATTTCTTAAGAGAAACAGTATTACAAATTTCACTGTTAAAATATGCTCTGGTAGCATTTCCATGTCCTGACTATTCAGCAGGTTTTTGAACTACTCCGACTCACAGGAACAGTAAACGGAGAAGGGAAGATAGCCAATAACAGATGCTTTCTGTCAAGGACAGAAGAAAATGCTAAGACTACAGTAACAAGAGCAGAGGAGGTTCTCTGCCAACAGTGTGCAAGTGTGCCAACCCACACTCTGAGGAACTACATGTGCACAGGTTTGACTTAAATAAAGCCTAGAGAGTAAAAGTGAATCTCTTCTGGGAGAATTCACAGAATACCCGGGAAGATGATGAAAGAATAAAACAAATAGTAACAAATGTCTTGGTAGAACACAGTTATTCAGACAAATGACATATCCTTAATAGAAGCAACAAGTACTGTTCTGCTAAGAGTAGCTACTGTATGCAAGGCACTATATTTTATGTAAAATAAAAATGAAGTAGCACTGATGGATCCCAGATAAATTAATTGCACCTAAAATGAATGTCACTAGCAGTGATCTTTAACTCTTTAAAGCTGCAAGAATACAATCCCGTATCCTGGACAACCAGGCTCCCCAGCTGCTAACATCCTGCCTTACCACGCTCTGGCCCCCTTCCCTGTTTTTGTGCTGTACATGCATGTATTTCTTCCTAGACCTGAAAGCTAACAGCACTCTCATCATGAGCCTGAAGATCTCAGAGTGAGCTTCCTAGAAGACAAGGACGTGCTCCTACAGAAACACGTCCCAAGCACTGAGCCAAGATTTAAGTGAGGTAAATTTTTAAGGTGAGAGTCTGCAGAATATGAAAAGGGTTAACAGAATAATAAAAACGAGTACAAAGATGGAGGAGAAAGGCCAGGCATAAGAGCATGATTAATGCAGACTCACTTATGATGCTACTCTAAGTGGATGCTATTAATTATTAATTCTCAAGTAACATCTATTAATATGATACATCAGTTGTATTAAGACTGGTAATTGTGTGCATGTAAAGTTGTGGCTAAGTAGAATGTGCATTAAAACATTTCGAAAGTCAAAAGAATTAATAAAACATGAAGTATCGGCATACTCTTCTGCCTGAATGGAATCTGCAGGCGCCACATAATTGCTGGGGATGTAGCCGTTCTTTCCTGTTGCGATCGATCTCGCTTCCCACCAGTCTCCTTCCCTGCAACACACAGAACAACAGTCACCGCAAGGCAGACTCCTGCCTGAGACACAAAATGCTGCAGTTTTCGTGTCTGAAGGAAGCAAGTGATAATACTTCTATTTTTATTTATGCATTCATTTGATCAAGAATTAAACTCAAAAGAGTAATATTTTGGGCTGGGGATTTAGCTCAGTGGTTCTGCCACCTGCCTCACAAGCACAAGGTCCTGAGTTCAATCCCCAGTACCAAAAAAAAAATAGTATTTTTAAACATTTTCACATGAAGCAAAAGCACAATTGCATACTTCTGCTCCAAACAAACAATAACAAAAACTCCCAAATGCCATACACTGGAATTTAGTTATAACATAATTTTTATGTAATTCTTTCAACTTAAGACAATAAACTATACTGAATAATCTGGGAGATAAACTTTTCAAATTATTTCATTTTGACTGAATTTTTAACAGCTTGATATAATTTGGACACCATAAAACTCCATTTAAGCTGTACAATATAGTTCTTAATACAGTCATAGTTGTACAGACATTATAACAACTTATACACTATTTTCATCACCCCGAAAGAAGCCCTATACCCATCAGCAGTCACCCCCGACCTGTCTGCCCACCATTAGCAACCACTAATCTGCGCTCTGTGTGGATAGGCCTATAGTGGGCATTTCACAAGAATGGAACCATTTACATGGCCTTTTGCAACTGGTTTCTTTCACTAAGGTTCATCTATGTTTTGTTGCCAAATGCTTTTCTTTTGAACAGTACATAAACTTACAATTTTTCTGTCATTTTAGAGAAAAAAACCATGATCTACTAACATTCCTGTAGCCAAGCAATAACAAAATTTAAATTTTTAGAATAAGGCATATTTATAAAAATGACACCCCAAAATATCTTAATAAGACTAATTACAATTACAATTCAAAACATGAGAACTATATATGGTTTGTAATATATAAGCTTCGACTTTTCCGAAGGTAATGTAAAAAGCACAAATATTTTTAGTGTCTAATAAAGAAGACATATGTACATGGAATTCAGTACTTAAGATTAAATATATTCTCTAAATTGAAATTTTATAATCTGTTCTCTAAAAGTGAAATGGGAAATCTTTTGGTAATTCACAAACATATACTGGGTTGAGTTTTCCAAGTATGTATCAAATACTTTCAGATACATAAACAGAAGACACCTTATTTGATCCTATGAAGCATCCACGGACTCATCTAAACTGAAAGCCTAAGTGACAGAATTTACAACAAGGTGTGAAGAGAGTAGAAGTAAAAAAGCCAGGCATGGTGGCACACGCCTGTAATCCCAGCACTCGCCTGTAATCCCAGCACTCGGGAGGCAGAGGCAGGACGACACTGAGGCCAGCCTGACCTACATAGTGAGTTCAAGGACATCTTGAACTACACAGTGAGACCTTGACTCAAAAAACCAAAAAAAGAAAAAAAGAAAGAAAGAAAACAGAAGTAGAAAGACGTCCTTAACCCAAGGGATTCACAGTGTAGAGCCAGCTCCAGGGCACAGACAGTCCTTGGTAAGCCTTTGCAGTGTGGCCAGTAGCACGTTTACCACTAACCCTGCCTCCTCCCCTGTAGATGACAGTAGCAGCACCCTGACTGACAACTAAAGTACCACCACACCTACACAGACAAACATCTCCTGGGCAATTCTGCCCCAGGCCAAGAGCCACTGTCCAAAAGAATGACAAAGCAAGGTGTGGTGGTGCATGCTTGTAATCCCAGCACTTTGGGAGGCTGAGGCAGGAAGATTGCAAGTTCAAATCCAGCCCCAGCAACTTAGCAGGACTCTGTCTCAACACAAAAAAATAAAAAAGGGTTTAGGATGCAGTTCACTGTGAAAGCCCTGTGTTCAATCCCCAGTACTGCAATAGATAAGTACAATAAGGACAAGCCAAATGATAAATTACAATCCTTAGTACTACAGCCAATCAACAAATTATAAATTGAACTGATGAGAGTCATGACTGACCTGTGCACAGGGTGCTATGTGAACACCTAGACAGACACTGTAGCAGGGCATGGGGACTATGGCAGGCAGGAGAGGGATGTAGGGGAAGGTAACACTGAGAAAATATACATGCCTTTTATTTTGAAGGACGAGTAGTAGGGCTGGGAGATAAAGGAGGGTTGGGAGTGAGGCTTGGTGGTAGAGCACTTGCCTAGCATTCACCAGGCCCTAGATCTGACCCCCTGCGGGACCGCAATACTGATTATGCTCAAAGCAGGCAGTAAGCAGTGCAGGCTGTGAAGAGTTAACCCCACTTTTGAGAAAGAGCCCAGCTGAAGTCTACATGGTCAGAGTAACTCGCCCCCAAATTCTGTTTCCACAACTAAAACCTTCTTAGCTAGAAGGACAATGTTCAAATTATAATCATCTATTTTGTCTATTCTGTTCCTAATTCGAGAATGCTTTGTCTTGTCCTTTACGAGGCTTGCTTACATTAATTTCCACAGAAACCTCACAACCGTGCATCCTCTCATGTACTTGCTCTTGCAGGTAGCTCACCTTTACCCCAACTGATTACTAAGAAAAATGAGAGGCTTGGATGAACCAGCACCTTTGCTAATTAAGCACCATTAGCCATCCTGGATCCCTGGTTTCTTTGTCTCTTGGTTCTGTCTTTTAATTTTTTTCCTCAGGCTTGCCCCATAACACCAAGCGGGAGATCAGAACGTACTGCAGAGGCCTCTGATAATTCCCAGCACAGAAAAAGAAAGGAGGAGAGAGATAAGTTACTGTGGAAAAGGGAAATAATGTATATGAAGGCACAGAGAGAGCAAAAACCTCCAGTGTACTAAGAAAATTGCGAGCACCTCGGTATGACTTAGTGGTAGAGTAAGGGGCACATAGTAAATTCTCAATGAATTATGCCTATTATTGTTCTTTTATCTGATGGCAACTGGTAGCTACTGAAGGATTTCAAAGCAGAGATGTGATCACATTTTCCGTCCTGGGGTGCTATTGGTAACAGATGGGAACAGGATGGACAGAAACATACCTGGAAGCAAGGTGCCCGCAGTTCTATATTCTAACTTATGCTTGCTAATGAAACTATGGGATGTTCTTTCCATAACAAACATCAGATTTTCTATGGTGGACCAGGAAATGACAAAAAGTCTAAGAGTCACATATGAAAAAACTAAATGTGGTCAGTTTGGAAGTGCAAGAGTTCCTTACTCAAAACTATTTCTGTCTCTTTAAAAGGAAATGTTTATTTTTGGTCCTGGGGATTGAACCCAGGGATTTGGCACTGAACTATACCCCCAGTCCTTTTTATTTTATTTTAAATTTTGGGTAATGGTTTTCCTAAGTTGCCCAGGCTGGGCTCAAACTTGCAATCCTCCTGTCTCAGCCTCCCAGAGTGCTGGGATCACAGGATCCCAGAAGGTCAAAGACCTTTAAATCGCCTGGTACTTACTCAAGAAAACAAAATCACCCCACCGCCACCACCCCACCACCATTAATGCTTTGTTCTTTGGGCTTCACTCTTCACGAACAACCATGGCAGGCAGCACAATCTGTACGAGTGAGTGAAAGTTCTGCCTGTCACAGTAGTCTCACGCCACGTGTCTCAGGAAGCCAAATGTACCGTCCGACCCAGGGGACAGAGACACAAGCCCACCACTCATCTCCCCATCAACTAGCTCAGCGGTTTCAATGCAAAGACCAGGTTCCTAGATTTCTCGCTCTCAAAATACAACACTTACGTATTGTTAATGATTTGAAATCTTTCACCCTTCTTAAATGAAAGGTCTTCTGTAGTTCTAGCTTCATAATCATATAAGGCCACAAATATAGTAACACCACCTAGCACAGAAAAGAAGATCAAAGTAAATTATACAGATAATTCATAAAAGAGAAATAAGGCACTACCGTCAGCAGAAAAGCTTAGTTTTATCCCATCTTCAGCATCTGTTTTTTAGAAGTTAGCAGCTTTGGGCAGCTAGAGTTTGAGTTAATCTCTCTCTCTCTGTCAGCCGTACATACTGATCACATTCCTTGTGGAGAGTTGGCCATGTACAGAGCACATCTTAATTCTTTTCTCCTCTTCTTCCTCTCCCTTCCTCCATCTCTTTCCCATCTGAGAAAGATCTACCTCCTGACTTCCTATTATCTATCTTCTATTTTGTTCTTTATTTATATTTTGGGTTTCTCATATAAGAGAAACCATGTGATATTTAAGCTAGTGTGTCTGATTTATTTCATTTAACATTATGGTCTTGAGGTACAGTCACTCTCCTACAAATGACTCGTTTATCCTCCTTTATGGCAGAGTAGTACTCCACTGTAACTACCACATTGTCTTCATCCTTTCATCTGCTGATGGATAGATGGGCCACTTTGAAGATTAACTATTACAAGTTGTGTTGCTATGAACATGGATTACACATACATAACTGTGTGTCTTTAAGTCTTTCGAGAAGATACCTAGAGGGGGAACAGCTGAGTCAAATGGAATTTATATTTTTAGTTTTTTCAGGAATCCTTATACTGATCTCCATAGTGGTTGTACTAGTTTACGATCCCAACAATGCAGAAAGGTTCCTCTTCCCCCTGCAGCCTTGCCAGCATTTGTTATTGTTTCTTTTTTTAAAATTAATTTTTATTGGTACATTTTAGGTATACAATATAATGACATTCATCACTGGAAATTTGCACCTTTACATAATCTCTCTGCGTTCTTATTTTTCCCCCTTCCCCTGCCCTCCCTTTAACCCCTCCATCCCTCCCTATTTACAAAGACTTTGTTTCCATTTTCTCATGTGAATTCCATTCCCTTCTTTCCTTTCCCCTACCCCTCCCACTTCCCCTTTGCAGGAGGAAGGAAAGGCACAAAAGCCTATACAGCACCTGGTATTCCGAAAGTAGTCTCCCATCCAAGTACTAACCAGGCTCAACCCTGCTTAGCTTCTGATCAGCCGAGATTGGGCGGGTGTTCAGGGTGGTATGACCATAGACATTATTTGTTTCTTGATGATAGTCACTCTTTCTGGAGATGGAATCTCAGTGTTCTAATTCACACTTCTCTAGAGGCAAGTGATGTTGAACATTTTTCTTTCTTTTTTTCTGATTCAGAGTCTCATTATGTAGGTTCAGGACAGCCCTGAACTCACTATGTAGCCCAGGCTGGCCTCAAAATTGCGGTGATCCTCCTGTCTCAGCCTCCCAAGTGCTGGGATTACAGGCATGCTTATCACCACGCCTGGCTTGAACATTTCTTCATGTATTTATTGGCCATTTGTATTTCTAAGTGTCTCTTCATTTCATTTGCCCATTTTTTTTTACTGAGTATCTTGAGGCGTCTTTTTTTTTTTTTTTAAAGTTCTTTATGTATTCTAGACATTAGTTCTCTGAGAGCTGACAAATTTTTTTTCCCATTTGGTGGGTTGTCTCTTCACTGTTGTTTCTTTAGCGAAACAAAAGCTTTTTGTGTGTGTGTGTGGTACCAGGGATCAAACTCAGGACCTTGTGCTCGCAAGGCAGGCGCGGTGCCACTGAGCTAAATCCCCAGCCCATCTTTTTAATTTGATATGATCTCATTTGTTGACTCTCAGTACTTTTTCTGTGCCACCAGGGCTCTGTTCAGAAAGTCCTTGCTTACATCTATGTCTTCAAGAGTCTTACCTATTTTATCTTTCAGCAGATTAAGTGTTTCTCTTTTAACATTTAGATCTGATCCATTTTGATTTTATTTTTATTTTTTTGCTTAAATTCTTTTATTGGTACATTTTAGGTATACAATACATTTACATTTATCATTGGGTGCTTGTACCTGTACATGATGTCATTTTGATTTTAATTTAGTACATGGTGAGATACACAAGTCTAGATTCATCTTCTGCATGTGGAAAGCCAGGTTCCCAGCACCATTTACTAAAGAGGCTGTGTTTCCTCCAGTGTATGTTTTTGGCCCCTTTGACAAAGATCAAATAGCTGAATGTGCTTGGGTTGTTTTTGCTTCCTCTATTCTGTTCCACTGAGCCACATGTCTGTTTCCGTGCCAGTACCATATTTTTTTTTAATCACTGTAGCTTTGTAATATAACCTCAAATCCAAGACTGCGATGCCTCTTGCTTTGGTCTTGTTACTCAGGGTTGCTTCTGCTATTCTGGGTCACTAAGATCTCTCTTTAGTCCTTCCACGAAATCACTATACTGTAAAAATCCTAAAATTCTGTCAACTCAGAAATATTTTGACTTTTGAAGCAACAACATCTTTGCCTCAAAAGAGTTAAATTTCAAATCAATTCTTTGGAAGAGGACTAACAGACACTATGCTGGTGCCGATCTTCTCAACTCCTTATACATAATAGGTGTACATTTCTGTCCATTCCCATGAACAGTTATCACTAGGGTTTTAGTAAATTTATTATATATTTAAAAATATAACACATTTGTCTTCAAATTAAATGGTATGACTAGTATGGATTATAACTGCCATATTTAGCAGTATGTACAGATGCTAAAGGGATGAACACACTGAACAACCAAACTATTCTGTGCAATCACAAGAAATAAAAAATTTATGTAATGTATGACATTTTAGTGTTTAAAATTATTCAAGGCTGGTATTCTGGTTAAAAAACCTGTAATATATTACTTTTAAAAAATCCACTATATATTTATCATATACAATACTATGTTTTAAAACATATATACAAGGGCCAGGGATGTAGCTCAGTGGCGCCGCACCTGCTTGGCAAGCACAAGGTCCTGACCTGGATTGCTGGTGTGTGTGGGGGGGGGGGGACGGGACATATACATTATGGATGGCTAAATCAAGCTAATTAACAGACTCCTTGTCTTATTTTTTCATGGTGAGAAAAACAAACTCTATTACCCACCAACTTTTAAGAATACAGTACATTGTTATTAACTAGTCACCAGGTTTTACAAGAGATCTTTTGAACTTATTTTTCCCAAATGAAATTTTGTTTTTTAACTTTTTTGTGTGTATGTTGCTAGAGATCAAACCTAGAGTCCCAAGCATGCTAGACAAGCATTCACTACTGAGGACACAGCCAGCTCTGACCAATACATTCTTAATTTGAATATGTACACTGTCTACTCAATATAGTTCCACTGACTTGCCAGATCAATTACGAGTTTATTTACATGCAACTATTTATTTTCGGTACTGGGGATTGAACTCAGGACGTTGTGCTTGCGAGGGAGGCACGGTGCCACTGAGCTAAATCCCCGGCCCCAATATTTTTGAGAAACAGTAGGAAAAAGGCAGGTAGTAAAATTACAAATAGACTGTTAAGTATAACACTATGAAATGTAGAAAAAAATATGAAACCTGCTGTCTCCAAAGTAACAGAAAGGTACAGTCACACACATTATTAGCTCATTCATTTGACTTCTCTTTGAGTTTATCACCTACCGTCTGATGTTGTCAGACGTGAATGTCTAATATGCATTATACAATTTATCATGTACAAAATGAAGTTCATTTTTCTCCTCTAACCTGCATTTACCTAAATCACTACTAATCAGGTACTCAAGCCAAATCCATTAGAACTATCAGTTTTACATGTATGTATCTACTTTCCATTTTCAGTGCTGCATCCTAATCCCACTCCATGTCATTTCTCACCAGAATTGCTGGGAATATTCGGAGTACTAGTCTCCTAACCCGATTCTACACTGGTTCGCTACCATCTACTCTCCATATACTTGCCAGAGGAGTGTCTGGGTTTTGTTTTTAAATGCCAAGTCCAAGCAGGGGATGCTGGCATGTGACTATCATTCCAGGGTGGGAGGCCGAGGCAGGAGGACTGGAAATCTGGGGCCAATTGGGCAACTAAGTGAGACCCTGTCTCAAAACAAATTTTTAGAAAGGGCTGGTGAGGTAGCTCAGTGGCAGAGCATAGGCCTAGCACAAAAAGGTGCCTAGAACAGGGCAGGAAAGACATGGCACAAGTACAAACCAAACCAGACCGAAAACACAAGCCAACTTCCACGTCCTTCTGTACCTCCTGCACTTCGTGTTATTCCTTCTCCCTTGGAATCTCTTCTCCCAGGGCTACAAATACGTCATTCTCATCACTCCAATATCAGTTCAAATGATTTCCTCTTGAGGAGGTGTTCCCTGTTCAACTACAGAGTCTTCCCCAGTCGTGCTTATCCGTTCTTTCACAGCATTTGAGAACCACTGATCATCCCTCTTAGCTGTTTACTGACAGATTATCGCCCAGTCCTCTTCATAAAGTAAACTCATCTGGGTAGAAACCTTGTTTGTCTTGCTCACCTCTTTACAGCTGGGCACACAGACATTCCATTTTTGGTGAGTTAGTAAATGAACATCAGAGAATGGAGTATTTCATGTGTGAGTAAACTGCTTTCAAGTATGTCTTTTAAGTATCAACATTTATTTTAACCACTTTGAATTACTACCTCTCCCAAACATATAATCCTAAAAATAACTTAAACTTTTGCTAATGACTGAGAAATAGCATTATGGCCATCAATTCCCAGTGTATTTAGAGTCAGGAAGACAGAATTGGAATTGAGACTGACTTTCATGCTCCTAACTCTCCAAATGCTGTTTAATACATCAGTGTAAGCCAGGCAGTCCCCTGGCCACTGTCTGTGGTCCAGAGGTGAGCAGACCCAGGAGACAAACTTAAAGAGTCCATGGCTGAAGAAGTTTCTCTTTTGCCCCTCCTGGCTGGTTTTAAGGACACAAGTCACTCCACTTGAGGCCAGTAGCTGTTTGTGCCGGAGGATAAAGTGGACACTCCAAGGGCTACAGGAGGGAGATGAAAGAAACATGACTCCTTGCCGACATCATGGAATTGTCTCGTTAGGAACCCTGCAGCTCATTCTTCTTTAAGCCAGCTGTGTTTTGTTATTTCAAGGGAAAAGCATCCTGATAGGGAAACTTTGACAAAAAAGTTCATTTTCACTCTTGGTACCGGAGATCGAACTCGGGTCCTTGCACTTGCGCAGCAGGCGGCAAAACCACCGAGCTAAATCCCCAGCTCATTTTCACTCTTTTTATAGTTTTTTAATCTACATTTTTAGAGTATTCTGCCTCCATGAAAGTTTGTCAACTATCATTTCCCGCTATTCTCTGAAAAGATATGATAATGTAATAAGAAAAGTTCTAGAATAGAACAAATCTGAGCTGTCCTGGTTACTATCTATAACTCTGGAAAAAGAATCATTTAAATTTTCTACAGCTCAGAATTTCTCTTTAAAATCAGTAGTATCTGACAGAAACATGGTGTCATTACTACTAAGTAACTACTGTAATTCTTTAGCATTGCACAGCACTTTACAATACTGAGAAGTTGTAAGATTCTTCAAGGACGGATGTTATTTTTTTATTTTTTTGCTACCAGGGATCGAACTTGGGTCCTTGCGCTTGCATAGCAAGCGGCAAAACCACTGAGCTAAATCCCTGGTCCAATGTTATGTTTTTAATCTTTATAGTCCCAGTCCCTGCCACACAACAGGCATTCAATAATTACTTGAATACAAGTTAATGAAGTAAGCAATGGTATACAACCACCATCAGATTATCACCAATTCGTTAATTGGCTCTGGGCTGCATGAGGAATACCAAAAAAGACCAGTACCAAACAAACTGTTCTAGCCCAAAAGAATAGCGAATCTCAAAGCAATCAACACAGACACGTTCCAACTTGGCATCGAGTACCAAACAAACTGTTTTAGCCCAAAAGAATAGCGAATCTCAAAGCAATCAACACAGACACGTTCCAACTTGGCATCGAGTACCAAACAAATGATTACTGGGACAAAACTTTCATGTTAAAACACATAAAAGTACCAAATTCAACAAGTTTCAAAGCCATTGAGTACTAAAGTGCGACTGTCTATATTAAGACTTCAACTCTGATATCACAGACTTGAATTTTTACATGTAATTTTTGGGAAAGTCCTGGAGTAAGGTATTTTCCTTAGTAGCAGACAGATGTCAAGTGTGTGTTGCCCATGGATACATTCTCCAACAGCTTCCCCGTCCACTTGACTCTCACCTGTTAAACCAGCAGGATAAGAACTGGGCACCACTGAGAAGGAGGAAGATGCTCCCCCAAAAGGAGTCACCCCTGAGGATCCCCCAAATGGTGTTAGGGAGAGGCTGCTGAAGTTCGCCGATGTGCCCTTCACTGAAGAGGGCGGGGCCACCGCAGTATGCTCTGCTCCGTAATGGCCGACACCACTACTGACAGGCTCCGGAGCGTTTTCAGTTCTGTATTTAATGGCTGGACTTTTGTCTTCCTTACTTTTAATGCAGCCCATTATCAAATCTAGAGACAATAAGACAGATATTTTGAGAATTAAAATCCTACTAGAAAGAGATGCAATTAAAAATATGACTTTAATCAAGGCACACATCCCCCACAGAAAAGAAACAAAACAAAATCAGTCAGAAGTCTCTTCCCCTAATTTATCTCATTATGATTCTGCCAAAGCCTTATTCCAATCACATCAATCTCCAACTAACGATAGCATGCCATAGTAGTTGGGAAAAGCAAGGGTTCTAAAGTCAGCGAGGCCTAAATTTGAATCTTGGCTTCCTACTTAGAAGCAGAGTGATTTCAGGTATGTCGCTTAAACTCTCTGCACTCCACTACTGGACTTGAAAAAGGAGTTAACTACTTCATATGGCTTATGAGGATTAACTTCCACACAAGTTCTAGACAATCTGGCACATGCGGGGTTATAATGCAATAGAAATATAATCTAAGTAACAAATATAAGCTGCATATATCAAACTTTCTATTAGCCAAATTAGAAAATACAAAGAAACAGGTAAAACTAATTTAAAAAAAACATTTATGTGCCTGCCTCTCAAGCGCAAGATCCTGAGTTTGATCCCAGGTACTGAAAAAAATTTTAACCCAATGTATTTAAAATAATTACTTCAACATATAATCAATATAAGCATTTTCAGTGAGATGTTTTATGCATTTTTTGTACTGAGTCATGGAAAGCCAGTGCACATGTAGAACATTATAATTTAGACTAGTCATATTGCAAAGGTTCAATAGCTGCCTGTGGTTGGTGGCTACCATTCAAGCCAAAAGAGAGCTATTCCTTTTCCCCTCCATATCAACAGGTACATCCCTAATGCCTGCCAAATTTTACCCTAACCTATCTTCCCAACCCCTTCAACAGTATAGCCTACTATTCTCTCATACTTATTTTAAGCTTGCATACACACATGAGTACATACACACTGTTTTCCAAGAATGCATATATGCCCTAAGCTTTCCTATTTTTTTTTTTTTTGACCTAGGTTTGAACTCAGGACCTTTGCACTTGCAAGGCAGACGGCGATGATGCTGAACTAAATGCCTGGCCCGGCTTCCCTATTTTTGTAGGGTTTTTTCCTTCTTAAAATTGCCTCTGTCCAAAATACTCTCCACATCTCTACCTGTTAAAATCCTATCCATTCACTGGTGGTCATTATACACATTATTTATAATTCTGACTTTCTCTGTAATTGGTAAAATTATCTTTTTAAAATTTTTTTTATTTTTATTTTTATTTTTTTTGGTACTGGGGATCGAACTCAGGACCTTGCGCTTGCGAGGAGGGTGCCTGAACCACTGAGCTAAATCCCTGGCCCTAAAATTATCTATTTTTTAAAAGGTGACATTCAAACATAGAAGTTATATGTGAGTGGTGGCACACGCCTGTAATTCCAGCTACTGTGGTGGCTGAGGTACAAAGAACATCAAGTTCAAGGCCTGCAGGGGCAACATAGTGAGACTTTATCAAGGAAGGAAGGATGGATGGATGGATGGATTAAAGGTGGGCTGGGATTTTTAGCTCAGTGACACCACGCCTGCCTCTCAAATGAAAGGTCCTGAGTTCAATCCCCGATACGGACAGGGGTGGGGGGTGGACAGCTGGACTAGGGATGTAGCTCTGTGGGGGAGCACTTGCATAGCAATCTTGAGGCCCTGGGTTCAATCCCAGCACGGAGGTGGGAGCAAAGAAAAATAAAGTACCATTGCCTGTATTTCTACCTCTAGTAATGGGCTTTATGTGCTAGATTTTAATATCCTTGAGCCTGGGCAAGTGCACAAGTCTTTTTTTTTGTTTTTTTAAACTTGGGTCCTTGTGCTTGCGAGGCCCAAGTGAGCTAAATCCCCAGCCTGCACAAGTCTTTTTTAAAGAAACATAGTTTCTTGCACAAAACTGATCAGTTCGGAGAGATCATTAATGCCCTTGAAGTGTTTTTTGTGGGTGTGAAACAAATGGTGAGAATCTGAATTGGTCCCTCTTCTTATAGTACTGAAATTAAGTCTACTTAATTTATCAAGTCATGTTCATGCCCTGATTTTATATACTTGTATATATCAATAAACACTGTGATACTTGAAAAAAATAGGTATTAATGGGGTACCATGTAATGTTTTGACACATGTGTATACTGTGTAATACTTAAATCAGGTTAAACACATGTATGTCCTTAAACAGTTCATTAAGGTGAGGTAGAACACCTTCTTTTTTTTTTTTAAACCACCATTGTGCTTTGGGGAGACTTTTGTATGGCACTCTGACTTTACTCTATTTTGTATTAGTTTTTGTTTAAAGCCCTAATTCCCAACATACCCCCAAATTAAAGGCAATACATTGCTTAGAAGCAAGAGTTGTGCTTCACTCATCTCCTACCCACTGTATCACCTACCAATGTAATTTGTGTACAGCAGGTTTACTAATATTACAAAACTCGCATTATTCTATTCACTTCTGTGGAGGCACTAATGCAGATTTCATTAATTTACTTTTTTTTTCTTTTTTTGCCAAACTCTGGATTTAGCCCAGAAAGCGCTGTGCTATGTCCCCTCATCTTTTACATTTTTTTTTAATCTTTTAAATTTTGAGAAAGGGTGTCCCTGAATTTCCCAGGCTGGCCTTGAACTTCCATCCTCCTGCCTCAGCTTCCTGAGGAGCTGGGACTACAGGCAGGCACTGCCATGGCTTGTTTAATCCCTCACTTCTAACACACTTATCTCATTGTTCTTGCCACTTTGCAAAGCAGTTCTTGAAGTCCTTTTTTTGTGAGTGTCACAACTAAAGTTTCACTGTTGTTGCTGCTTCAATGTCCCGAATCAATTCAAAATATTTACCTTTCATGGTCATTTTGATTGTGAGAAACAGTCAGAAGTTGCATGGTGCCAGATCCAGTGAATAAGAACACACGGTTATGGTTTTTGTTTCGGTACCAGGGATCGAACTCAGGTCCTTGGGCTTGCGAGACAGGCAGCGGAACCACTGAGCTAAATCCCCAGCCCACACATGGTTATGTTTTGTCCCTGCCTTTCCATTGGATGGCATTTGGCAGCAACATTCACTGTATTTTTGACCACACCTTGTAAAGACATGAAAAAGAACTTCCAGATCTGTTTTATAAAGTGGCAAGAACAATGAGATAAGTGTGTGTGAAATGAAGGAGAGGACTTTGAAGGGATTAATGGCAATATGTCTTTTACTTTAATAAATTTTTAAAAATTTAAACAGTCACCATATATTCTGATTACTCCTTTTATATATTAAAATAGAAGCAATCTCAGAACCTCAGAGTTGGAAGATTTTATAGTCACTCTTTTAAATATATATACTGTATTCTGAACACATTACAAGTACAAGCATCAGAACATGAAGAAATTATAAACCAAATACATAAAAGGTAATTGCTTCTAAAAGTATTAGAAAAAACCCCAAAAGCTAAGTAGTTTCATAAGCCAGTATTGGAAAAATCTTTTAAACCAAATGTAAAATTAGAAACTTTAAAGGAAAAGACTAATAGATGATTACATAACTTCATATGGTGGGGATCTTAAGTAAAGCTAAAGAGACAAGAAACAGGGAAAGTGTCTTTGAATGTGACTTCTGTTCTTTCTTGCTTTCAATATACACATAAATGTACATATATGAAAGTTGGCTGACATTCTTAATATAGACAACTCAACACAAGCAAAGAAAACATCCTCCAGGAAAATACCAAAACCAAGAGGCAATTCACAAAACATACGAAAGACCAATTACCATAGGAAAATACAGTACACCAAACTTCTCAGTCTTCTAGTAAATGCAAATTAAAACAAGGTATTTTTGTTTGCTTGGCAGATTCCTTTCTACCAAAAGGCCAGAATCAATACATAGGAGCTATCACTGCTGCCACCTTGTTCAGAAACACTATTAAAAATATAGGACAGGAGTTATATTTTGAAGTGAACTTCAGGTACAAATATGAGTTAAGCAGATTTTTATGGATTGCCTTAGAAATATATTTGGATGGGAAATATATGAGAAAGTCTTTTCCAAGTTCCAAACTACTAACAGACATGTATTTATTTACAATATATACGTTACTAGACACTGTAAAGTCTGGGTATGGCAAGAAATGGTCCCTTTTCTTTAAAAAGGTCACAAACAAGTGTAAGAAACTACCCTGCTCCCCCACTTGGTAAGGAACCCAGGGCCTCATGTGTGTTAGGTAATGGTTCTGAGGTTCACCTCTGGCCCTAAGTGTAAGAAACAAATACAGTATTGAAAAACATGAAACGTGCTAGATGGAAAAAAATGCTAGAGCAGAAGTAGGAACAGAATGCTGTGGGAATACAACTGAAGTTATCAGCTCCATCCTGAGTTCTTAGGAATGAAAGCTTTGCAAAAGAAGTGGTGTGTGAGCTAGGCCTTGAAAAGTTGAACATTTCTAGGAAAACAGGATATTCCAGGATGTATGAAGAGTGTGCAGATGGCTCACATGCTTGGGATAGAAAAGCATAGTATACTCTGGGAACAGAAAATCTCTCTGTAGCAGGAATATATGGAGGTATTTGTAAGCACGGCAGGATGGGCAACCGCAGTAGAAAGGACTGATACAAAGATGACTTGTTATACAATAACTTTTAGATTTGTGAACAGAAAATTAAGAAAGAACTGGAGTCTACAAGTTCAAGACCAGCCTAGGCAACATAGCAAGCCCCTGCTTCAAACTAAATAAAACATAACAAACAAAAACTTACAAGAATAAAAAAAAATAAAAATAGCAAGAGAAGATATAAATATAACTATGATCAATAACGCACTACAGACTGGAAAGCACCAGCAATAATGGACCAATGAGTTAGTTCTAGATGATCATTTCAGGTGTGAGTGGAACATGTCATAAAGTCTAATAAAGGACTGATAACATGCTTAAAGCTCAAAAAAAGGAACCAGGGAAAAACTAAACAAAAATACATTCACAGTTTAACTAAATCTTTTGGAAATAATAAAACTCAACCAA